AACAGAAACAAGAAAGAAAACGTAGCTTAGAACCATGCAGGGATAGAGTGGACAGCAGCTTTTCATTTATGGATTCAAGGATCAAATGATCAAAGGATCAAAATTTTGGTAAGATTCTAAATATGTGACATCACATCCCGAAAGCCAATTGGGTTGTCATATGACTTTTTTTTTTTACCCTGGTATTTTTTTACTTGGAGAATTTATCAGTAAAGTTTAAATATCTGCCCCCCCCCCTCCCCAAAAAAGATAATAATAATAAAAATACGTGTTATTGGAATAACCGACGTTTTCTACAGTCATTTGTGCTAGCAGATGGCGGCAGTTTAAAGTTGGGTCTTACTCTGCCCAGGCTGCTACTGGTCTCTAGGTGACGCTGTGTTGTAGCTGATTGGCTGACGCGGTCGTGCGGTACGTCCTTTACGTTTTCTGCTGACACGTGACAGTACCCGGATTTTGGTGACGTCGCAGAACAACAAAGATGGCAGGAATAGGAAGCAGCACGTACTGGGAAGGTAAGGCAACACTCGAGCCTGTTTACAGCAAGTAGTATTATAACAGCACTTTTTTTTAACCGTTTTCATAATCTCAGCAATTAATTTGCCCCTGTCACTCCACCTCTGGCTGTAAGAAACATGGTTTAAAAACATACATGCCACTACAATAACAAGTTAGCTCCCAACAAGCTAGCGAACTAGACGCCGTGTAAGTTAATTTAACTCTGATCCTTCGGCGGTTTAAGCCGTGTCGTTGATCTAAACAGCTTATCAGCCTGGCACATCGAGTGTGTCAGCTGCTTCGTTAATTGTCGGCAGTGAGCAGATAGCGTTTTCATATTTTCCCCCCTTGGTTAATGTAGTGTTAAAACAATGAGCTTTGTTGCTATAACGGTCTTGTTGCTTTAGCTTTCGGTAGCACAGGAGTTTTTTTTGTTGATGTTTAATGCAGAAAAAGAAATGGCATATTTTTTTTAATTTGCCCCCCCCTCCCAATCCGGGGGATCAAAATCCCCCAATCTAATCTAGTGACAACTGATACAGTTGTATCAGTTGTCACTAGATTAGAGGCGGGGTACTCCCTGAACATGTCACAACTAAAACAACTAAATTGCTCATGGGACATTTCATCTTCGTAGTACCATGTTGGGTAAACGCGGACTTTGGTCAGAGACTTTGGTCTATATTCGCATGAAAACATCACACAGTTGGCGCCAATTTGTGAATCTCCTGTACCACTACATCCCCAAAATGCTCTATTGAGATCTGAAGCCAGTGGCAGCCATTTGAGCACAGTAAAGTCATTATCATGTTCAGGAAACCAGTTTAAGGTGATTTGAGGTTTGTGGAATGGTGTGTTATCCTGCTGGAAACAGCCATCAAAACTGTGGTTATAAAGGGATGGATATGGTCAGCAACAAGACTCTGGTAGGCTGCTGCATTTAATTGATGCTCATTTGGAGATAAGGGACCTGGTAATAGCCAGCAGACCATTATAACACCACTATCAGCTTGAGCTGTTGATTCAAGGCCAAATGGAGCCATGTTTTCCTGTTTTTTTAGGATCCTGCTATTTTAATGTTGCAGCAGAAATTAAGACGCATGTACCAGGGAACGTTTTTCCAATCCTCTACTGTCCATCTTTGGTGAACCTGTGAACTGTAATCTTACTACCCTGTTTTGTCCTTAGCTATCAGAAATGACACCCAGTGTGCTGTAGGTAGGTTATCTGCTTTAAGGTTTGATGTATAGTGCATTCAGTGATGTTCTTCTCCATACTTTGGTTGTTACAATTGTTTTTGTTTTCTATTTAAGTAGTTCTTGTTGCCTTCCTGTCAACTTGAAGCAGTCTGCCCATTCTCCTCTGTCTTCAACAAGGCATTGTCTGCCAGGGAATTGTTGCTCACTTGATATTTTATGTTGATATTTTATGTTTTTGGACCAATTTTTGTAACCCCTAGAAATGGTCATGTGGAAAAATCCTGAGTCTGAGTTTGTGAAATACTCAGACCACCCTATCTGCCATCAACAACCATGCCACATTCAAGTCACACAAATAATCCTTGACAATTTGAACTTCAACAGGTTGTCTTGACTGTCTTGACTTGACTATGCCTAAATGCATTGAATTGACGCAAAAATTTCCCCGTTGTGGGATCAATAAAGCCTTATCTTATCTTATCTAATTGATTGTCTGAGAGTGTCACCATCTACCGGAACCGTGTTTGCACATATACTTGGCCAATAAACACGATTCTGATTCTTCTTATTATGATATTTGCTTTAATGAGTATTTGGATGTGTGTATTAAACAAATTGGCTAGAAAGTGTTTAATAGGGCAGGGCAATATGGCCAAAAATATTTATCACGATATATATTTTGAAATTTGCAATAACAATATAACTGACGATATAACTGACGCGAGACAAAATACTTTAAAACTCCACAACTTTATTGATGCAAAAAAAAACAACCCATCAATGTATTTTCACTTAAACAAGCAGCTGTTTTTTATGTGCATTAAAGCTATATAAAAATTTAAGTGTAAATGCAAATTCCTTGCTGACAGTTTAACCAAAAGGCATTTCCAGTGGAAATGGGCCGACATATCCTCAGCATAACCATGTATAATATCCACAAAACTTAAAAAGTGGTTATACACACACAATACGGTAATATTATGTTGAAGCACAGTACGTATTACTTCGCGAGGCTCCTGACTACAGTAGCTGTAATGCTCCGGCAATCCATCAAGCGGTGCGGGTTCTTAGCTTAGCAAAGTCGTACTAAAACATTTTTTGACAGATTTTTGAGCGCCGTGTACCACATAAAATCAGTTCGAGGTCAGTAAGCACAACCAGAATTCATACATACGGCGCACTTCGATTTTTCAGAAAATCAAAGGATTGATTTTAAGAGCGACTTATTTTCCAAAAAACACGGTAATAACGACGGCCCGCTAGCATGCTCTACCAAAAATAGTGCTTTGGTGTGTATCTGACGGACGAAAGCTAAACCAGTTCCACACCACTGAACCATTTTTACAAACCAATTCTGGTTCATCCGTTTCATTCAACGATCCGCTTTCGCCCTTCTCATTCTCTGTCGCCGCCATGCTTTTTCCGCCAGGTGCGTATGAAAACAAAGGCACTGCGCATGCACGCTTTACCCATATTCTATCGCGATATTTCATTTTCTTATCATTGCCCAACATTATACCGATATTACCGTGAACGGTATGATATGGCCCAGCCCTAGTGTTTAACATAAATTATTCCTCTGTATAAGTTTCAGTGTTACATTTTTTGGATATCTGATATAAAATATTTTTAATAGAAGATGCACAAAAAGATTTTCAGTTTTGAAAATCTTGTCATGGTGAAATTTTGTTCTACATAGCTCTCATACTCTACTATACACTCTCTGCACAGTCAGCAACAGACAAAATAGACATCACAGCTGAGCAGTAGAGTCAAGTTGTCTTCATGTTGAGTTGCTAATTAAGAAAATAGCATTACAAGAAAGTTGAATGGACCATCTATCTACAGTGGGGCAAAAAAGTATTTAGTCAGCCACCGATTGTGCAAGTTCCCCCACCTAAAATGATGACAGAGGTCAGTAATTTGCACCAGAGGTA